GGTGAGTTGGTGAATAAACAATTTATCAGAATTCTCCCATTCCTGGTTTTAGTGCAACTGCGTTGCACAGCTACCTTATTTTATATAAATATTCTGGTATATATAAGTCAAACAAAACAAGCAACTTTAATGAATAATGAAGCAAAACTTCTAGTCGTATTGACTGTTCATGGTATATCAACATTAAAAAAAAAGAAGAAGGAGCTTATGAATTAATAACATTTGTAAATGAGCATCATGGTCATGTTTTTGACATGCAAACAAGATCAATTTTTATCACAGTTTCAAAAATTAACAGAGGAGATGTTGTCATATATCCGATTTTAGACAATTGATAGCAATATTAAACTAACACAACAATATCATATGCTTATAAATAAATATAAACATCAAGTTATTAAGAGAGATTTATATAATGCAATTTTTTTAGCTTGTTGTAAAAGGATGCAAACAAAAGAAAATGCATTTAATATTCTCAACTATCTATTGAAAAAAAAAACTGAAAAAGCAGGATAGATTATGGAATATAAAGTAGGTCCAGTATCACAAGCACTTACCTATTTACTATGGATGGAGCCACACCAAATTAAATTATACATCTGTTATTGTTTTGTTGTTGTTTATAACAACACTACCAAAACTAATATATATAGACTTCCACTTTCAATATTTGTGGTTGTTGATAATAATTTCAATACATAATCTGTTGCACAAGCATTTCTTAATGATGAAACACTAGAATTTTATGCATAGAGTTTAAGAGTTATAATACAAGCACTTAAGCTTTACCTACCTGTAATAATTATAAACGCTGACCCAGCAATAGATGCTGCTATAGCTCAAGTTTGCCCCCAAACAAGGCACTTGCATTGTATATAGCATATAGATCAAAATTTACTTAAAAAATTGAAAAACAAATTACAAAGATTACCAAAAATTTGCAGAAGCATTTTATAAATACCGCAATAAGCTTGATATTGAGACTTTCAAACATTATTATTAAAAATTAATTGAAATTTATCCTACAATAAAAAAATATTTAGAACAATTATATGAAAGTAAGGAATTATGGGTAAAGTATTATACAAACACATGTTTTATGGCTAAAATGCAATCAACAAGTCATGTGGAGAGTATTAATAGAGTAATTAAACAAGAGCTAGATGATAAATGCATAACATTATATAATCTTTGTGAAATGATTTCTCGACTTCTTGAAGAAAAAAAATTATAGGGATTTTATTGCATAGAAAGAGTCAATACCATTAATTTTACCTTCAAACCTATATAATGTAGTATTTCAGAATATTAATAATGAACTTTGCACTTATATAACTTCTGCAATAGTTAAAAAAATTAGAAAACAGATGAATCACAGCTTCTTATATCATGTGATACAAATAGAGCCAGATGGGCTAGTCACTAATATTGAGGTTTTATGTGATACCAATTGCATTGAAGAGGTTTTTGATTTGCTACAAGCCCATACTAATGATATTCTTAGTGAAGTTCATGACCAACTAATTTCAGTTTGGGAAGTTCGACATATTAAGTATACTGCATCACACAATTTGTTTTTCTTTTAATGAATGGTGATTATAAATATACATGCAAATTATCTACTACATTAGGTTGGATTTGTAGATATTTCTTTCGAATTATATGTATGACAGCAATAGCCAAATTTTATATTAATATGATTAATCGCCATTGGTTTAATAATGAAGTATATAATACCGATTTGAGTAATCGAAATTTTATTGGAATAATAACTGATAATATAAATAATCTAACAACTCAAGTTCCTAAGCGATGGATATCTACTGTATCAAGTGAAATTAATGGATTAACAAAAGAGAACCAAGTAATTGCTCAGCAGCATTTGAGTACCAAGTAATGATTTGCTAAAGTATTTGGTTTTACAAAAACTATAGTAAACCAAGTGGTTGAATTAAATTTAGATAAAAAGTTGATTGAAATACTTAAAATTTTTTAAGAAAAAGAGATCAATGCAATTCTTATGCTAATAATAATTGTAGATCTAGAGATATGAGTGTTGTGATTAATAATACTATTCAAGATGAGAATACTTTGAATAATGAATCGAATTCTTTAAATGAAGCAAAATCTGATATTAATGAAGTAAAAAAAGAAAAAGTTCAAATATTAGTATTGAAAATTCTTTAACAAAACGTCATAAAGGTTGGCCACTAGAAGCACAAAGAATTCTTAGTAGTATTGAAGTAAATCAACAATCACAATCAGCTATAAAGATACGAAGTGTTAAATGTGCATATTGTAACAAAACTGGTCATAATATTAGAAGCTGTAAGATAAAATCTTCTAATGAGATTAAAGATTAAATTAAGTATACAATTAAAAACAATATTTAAATAAAAATTATATTGCTTTAAATAAATTTAGCATATTGTAAAAATTAGTTGAAGGTATCTAAATTAAAAAATTCAAATTGAATTTTTTAACTAGAGTAATTTTTATAGTATTGTAGATTTAATTGTAGGCTTAAATGTTTATTTATTTGCAAAAGTAATGTTTAATTTTTTCTATTCAGTGATTTATAAATAAAGATAGGCATTATACATCTTATTATTATCTAGAGATGTTTAAACTACTATTTTCTTATTTTTAAGTTTTTTACTTTCTTATACTATATCGGGTTTATCAAATTTTTAGAATTTGATTTATTATATATCATATAGTTTTTACTAATATATGATCAATATAATCCCTGCAATATATTGATCATGTGATAGAGTGCACCAAATGCATGGTGCACTAAATAACAACGTCCTTTTTTTTTTTAAGTTTTATAACTAGCCTTTTCAGGGTTATAGTTTTTATTCAAATATATAGATGAGGGACTCACTTATAAAACCCTAGTACATTATATTACAAATGCAGATCTAGCTTGTATTATCAGTACATTTCTATTATAATTACCTGTCGTAAGAAGTTTTGGATGCTTTCCCAATACTCTTAGAACTAATTTATTCTTGAGATATTGTTAGCTAGAACTTTTCATACCCACAATCCAGCTAATCTAGACTTCAGTAATTTATGCGAGTCTGAAAACAAGTACTTGCAAGCTAAAGCTACTACTATTACCTACTTCTACCCTTGCAGTATTTACCCAAACTTCAGTATACACTTTACAGACTTATTACCGAGTTCGACAGAGTAGCTCTTCTGAAGTCCAGTTATATAATCATCGATGATCCACACCTTGCTGATTAATGATTGACACTCTGCTGCAACATCTCTTTTTTTTTTCTCATCACTTGAAACTTCCTTTTCTTTTTGCTTAGCTATTATTTGGTTTTTCACTCAGTTGAGCTTCCTTTTCTTTTTGTTTGTATCAGTTTTCCACTTAATGGAACTTTTTATTGTATAAAGCCAAATCTATGATAAATTTGCACTTTGTTTTTTAAAGAAAAAGAAAAAATACAAAAAAAAACATCGTCGAATAAAACATATAAAACACATTAATTTACGATGCAATGGTTGAGAATATTGTAACTTTAGTTAAAAAAGAAAAAAGAGACATGATGTTTTAAATGTGATCTAGATATAACGATTTAAAAATAAACAAGCAAAAATAGATGGTTAAACATTAAAGAATTTCAACTTATAATCAGTATCATATCAAATAAATTTTATTTAATATTAAAAAATTTAAAGATTGGTTTAGTATTTTCTGCAACCCAACTTTTATAAGTTTTTTGAATAAAATTATCATCGATTAGTTGGCAACTCGATAACTAATCAATTTTCGATTTGGTTGAAAAAACCTTTTCTAGATAGAGATTGAATTTATAATTTCATAATTGAATTATTTATTATATAAATAAAAAATAAGTTAGTATAGAATTAAATATCTTCGTACCTATATTTCATTTTATATATTATTTGTACATTGTAATAATTTGAAATGTAGTAAATGTAGAGTGTGGAGACTTAGTGAAGTTGATAAGTTGTCACACTTCCAAGCGGCAGGACAAGAGTTCAAATCTCACTGGCGACGAAATTCGAAATTTATAGAATGCATTATAGTATACTGTGTGACATCCTGAGGGGTAGTAGCACCTATAATCTTGGTTATACCAGCTTGTTCTGAAAGGCTGTGTAATGCATGAGTTATGCAGTCATGTAAATCCATGGTTTAAGCTTACAGCACACAGAAGCTCGCTTGGCAAGTCCCAAGTAGAGAGGTAGCACAGATCTTTGACAGTACTGCATAAAGGATAATTACTAGCAATCAGACACCAACAGTAAACTAGACGAGGACCAGATGTTTGGCAAGACACTAATACCAACCAGCCCGCAAGTATATAGGGATGAGCCCTATATAAATGAGGAAAAAGGATTCAATTGGAATACCAAAGAGACACCCACTGGTCTCTCACCGGGCTATCTGGATTGGAAGTTTGGGACACTGTTGGTGAAAGAAAGTTAGTGAAATCGTAAAGTGTATGCTAGGGTTTGGGTGAACTCTGCAAGGCAGAAGTAGATAACAGTAGTGGCTTCAGCTTACAAGTACTTGTTCTCAGACTCGGCATAAGTTATCGAAGTTTAGATTAATCAGATTGTGGGTATAGAAAGCTCTAGCTAACAATGCCTTGAGGATAAATTAGTCCTAAGGGTATCGGAAAAGCATCCGAAACTTTTTATAACAGGTAATTGTGGTGGAAATATACTAGTGATACAAGCTAGGTTTGCATATAAATATATCAGGGTTCCATAAGCGAGCTCCTTACCTATAAACTTAAACTTGAATAAAAACCATAGTTCCAAAGAGGCTAGTTATAAAAATAAAAAAAAAAAGTAGTAAATGTATTGTCTTTTTATCAAATGCATTGTTATTTTCTTATTTAATAAACATTTAATTATGCACATAATGAAAGTATTTGATAATTTTTTAAATATATGTACTATTCTTTTTATTCCCATTGTAATTGTGCTTTATAATCTTTATTTATACAAAGAAATATTTGCATATATATTGATTAATATTTCCAGAGTGTTCACACTTATAGAGATTTTTCATTGTTTGAATAATAAAAATTCTCAAATTATATAAGTCTAGATATTCTATTACCTAAATATAATATTTTCAACATTAATAAATATTAGAACAATGCGAAGTAATTTATTCCTGACATGTTGCTATAAAAAAGATATAATTATTAATAAAACTAAATATAACTGGATGATTATCGGTTCTAGTAATATCAGTTTTAATAATATCAGTTTCAGAAATATTAGTTCCTCTAATATCAATGATTAAGATAAAATTTGTAACTAATAAATGACAAATAAATAATGATTTTTTATTTTTTATTTTTTACACCATTATATACAATTACCCATTAATCAACTTTACAATAGTAAAAAATGCCTGACTATTTGTATAAATATTGGATAGTTTTTGCCATAAGTGAGACTCCAAGAACAAAATTATATTTTCTAAAGATTCGCAGACTTTTCGATATTCAAACCTTAAATATACACAATTCACAAATTAGTCTATTCTAAAATAAAATGATGCAGTGATTGTAAAGTTGATCATTCAGATAAAAAGTTTGTTTAAAATGGTTGTTGTCATAAAATCTGTATTGAGTATAAAATTAGTGTAATCAAAAATGAAAAATGAAAAATGTTTAAGTTATTACAAATTTAGCTAGCCATGTTGACTATGTTGAATCAGCTAAACACGTTGAATTAGCTAACCACGTTGAATTAGCAGACCATATTGAATTAGCAGACTACATTGAATTAACTGATCATATTGAACCAACCGATCATATTGAATCAACTGATTATATTGAATTAATTAATCATGTTGAATCAACTGATTATATTGAATTAATTAATCATGTTGAATCAACTGATCATAATGAAATTATTAACCAAGGAACAGAACAGATAAATAATGATGGGTGTATCGAAATTGATTATACTAAAATTAGTGATTTTATTACAAATGAGATCCAAGAGTTAATAGAAGACATGAATACTGATAATAAAGCTAATATAATCTACAAGACACAATTTTTAGTAAAAATGAATATAAATATTCAAAATATAATAGTAAAAGAAATTTCAAAACTTATCATAATTGAAGTTGAAGACAGAAATGATTATTCACGAGTATAAGTTTAATATATTATTTTATTATTTTTATTATTATTTTTGTTATTTAAATTTTTTTTTTCTTTTTCTTCTTTTGTCTTTTTAATATTCATACTAATCATTAGTTATTAAGAAGCAAACCTATTAAGAAAATTTGATAGCATGGTTGGCCAGTTCACTTATCTGTGTTGCCAATCAAAAGAAGCACAAAGTGAAGATTATAATGAATCTAATTGTAAGCTATATGTGTATTATAACTGTAAAGATAAAATCACAATATGGGTCAACACAATCCTCGGTATTGCAAAGGTGAATATTCACCATAAATCCCTTCATCAACATCTGAATCTTTGTGCTAAGATGCTAAATAACCTACAAGAAGAGATTAGTAAGTTTGCATATCTTACTACAGCTCAATTGACAAGTTATCTATGATACAAAGGGTTTGATCTTTCAAAATATTTGCACAAATGCATATACTATTGGAAGACCAAAGCAAATAAGAATGTGTATCAGCGTCATAATGATCAGGTCAAATCTTTATACAGGCTGCTTGATGAACACATAAATCAGAGATTCTATAAATGCTTAGACTTACGAAATTTGAAATCTACAGCCATTGCTTTTACCACCTCTTTGCTAGAAAAAATTAATAATTTCTAAATTCAGATTAATGAGATTTACATAGATGTAACATATAGAACTGCCTATAGCCATTTTGAGCTTTATGACATCGTTGCTGATATTAATAGTGCAGGTTTTCCTATTGCATATTTTGTTATAGATACAACCAAAGCCAAAGATATAAACACCAGCACAGGAAAATGTAGTATTATATTAGAAAACTTTCTGGCAGCTATTAAAGTAAATTATATAAGAAATAAGTTATGGTTTGTTAATATAGTAATAAACAGAAGTTTTTTTAATATATATATATTTTTTAAAGTCATATAATATAAACCCAAATTTCATCTTTATTGATAAAAACTTCGCAGAAATAAATGCAGTAACCAAAGTGTGGAGTGATTCGGTAGTCC